TGTGGCAGGTGCTGTTTTCAATCAGCTGTTCTGCAGAGTGGCCGTGCTGCACCATTGCAGGGACCAACAGCGTCAGGTGCTGCCACTCCACAGTCTGTCCTGGTGCTTCCTCCAGCGGCTAACTCAGACCAGAAGCAGTTTCCAGCCTCCCAAGAGTAACGTGAGACAATGTACACGTAGGAAAGGCCTGTTTACTGTGCAAAGTTCAGGACCAGCCCCTTTCTGAGAACAATAAAATGAAACTAAATTCCTCTCTTCTCTGCAGAACCAGCCAGGGCTGCTGCGAATCCAGCACAACTGCTCCTAGCTGAACTGACTTGTTCGGTGTGTCTGGATTATTTTAAAGATCCAGTGTCTCTAGATTGTGGGCACCACTTCTGCCAGGCCTGCATCACTCGGTGCTGGGAGGCATTGAGTACAAACTTCCGCTGTCCTGAGTGCAGAGAAACCTTCTCCCAGAGAAACTTCAAACCAAATAGACAGCTAAGGAATATCGTAGAAGCTTCCAGAATGCTTACAATGGAGTCAGCAAAAGAACAAGAAGTTGGGACAGTGTGTGAAAAACACCAGAGGGCTTTAGATGTCTTCTGTCAAGTGGAACAAACACCCATTTGTAAGGTTTGCCATCTGTCCGGAGATAACAAAGAACACACTGTGGTTCCCATAGAGGAGGCTGCCGAGGATTACAAGGTAAGAAATCACGGGACGGTGTAAAAACTGGAATGACCAAGAATGGCATTTTAATAAAAAAAATTATGGCAAAAACCAGTGGATACGGTTACACACTGGTATTAACCTGTTCCGGCCCAAAACCATTTTTAACACCAATAGGGACCCAGAAAAGGCAGTTCTGAATTGCCCAGGGGCGGAAATGTATAACCTATAGCCCAGTACTATTACAGTGTAAGTGCTGCTGACCTGGGACACACATTCTGCTAGAAATGAAAAAACATCTTGTGTGCATGTGTTGTGCACTTGTCATGAATCAGTGCAGCCACAGGAATTGTGGATTTTCCTGAAAAAAGGCACGTGAAGGGGGAGAGGAAAAGTCTCCTGGCTGAAACGTGGCATATGGAAACAAGTGTAATGGGCTTCAATATTGTCACCTCTTAAAAAATACCCGTAACGTCTGGAAGCTCCCAACTTGCAGAGATTTCAGGGACCCGGCAGTACTGACACACAAACCCTTCCAGGGGACAGTGCAGGTCATACACATCACTAAGCATTGGGACTGATTCTGCTTTTCTGTTTTTCATACAGTATTTTTTATTTCTTGTGTATTTTTGAGAACAGTCCCTCTCATATGTGCAGCTGAGACATTAGAGTCTGTTATTTGTCACTGGTAATTTTTAGATAGGCCTCAATGTTTCTGCTCCACAACTTTTCACAGTTCAGATGATAATGTATGGCCGTGAGATCTCAAGGGATATCTTCTCATATTCCTGTAGGGCACACATGGGTCAGGTGTTTCTTCTTGTCCCAAATAATGAACAATCACTTCCTCCACATTTCCGTCAAGAACTTCATATCCGTATCTGTGACACAAAACCTCATCTGTATCTATCAGCCTTCGAAAATATCTCTTCCTTACCAGAGGCTCCCCCCATTGGGAAAAGATGTGTTCCTCTGTGGATCCATTTGTACTGATCACACCTCCAGTCATCTTTTTTGTCCTTTTGCCCTTCATAGCTGTATGCAAGCCGCTGTCCATTTTTTGGCTTAGAAGCTGGGAGAGTCGATATTTTGTCTTTTATAGGATTTCTTAAAATGTCCCCTGCTGCTTGCAGTGAAAGTGGTCCCAATTTATACATATAAACTAAATTACACACACTGGAGGAAAAAAGAGTAAACAATCTATTTTATTGTATTTGTGCACCTGTGAACATTAGGTTTTCTTAAATCTTCTGCAAAGCTTTGCGGAAATCAGATTAGAGTTACGGGTGAGACACACACCGACTGGACAATTGTCGAGAGGCAATGGATGATAGAGGAGGATGATTAAAGTAGAATCATGTATTGCATTTAAGCAACACAGACTACCAACTCAGTGATTGGCAACAATGATAGGGACCTAGGAGGTTAGTGGCCTATTCTGACCCTACTTATGTGCCATGTAACTGTACACACATGGGATTTCCACACCCTCTAAGCAGCTCTGTGCATTCTCGACACCGACTGAGAGCTACGTGCCAGAGGGGAAGGTCAAGGTTCCAAACTGCAGAGGAGCAGAGGTGAAAACGGGGTGAAAACAGGTGTTCCCACAGGTACATGCGTTCTGAAGCAGCAAGAAAGCGAGTATTCGCCCCCATGGAATACCCACCCTGTCCCCCTCACTGCCTGCTCCCTGGCCCCATTTCTGTGGGAACATCTTAGCTGGTCTAGGAGTGAGCACTGAAAGTGCTCAGTGAGGGAAGAGTGAGATCAGAGGAAGGAAATGGACTTGCAGGGGGCAGAGAGACAAGGTTGGGGAGGTAATATCTTTGATTGGACCAACTTCTGTTGGGGAGACAAGCCTTTGAGCTTACACAGACAGAGGTACACAGAGAGAGGCAGCAAATCAGTTGCAAAGCAAAAGGGAGCAAGAGAGACTCAGAGTTTTTCCCCAGAGCCAGGCAGTAGGAGGCAAACAACTCATTGCCATCCTCTGGGCCCCTTCGGAACAGAGTGTTTGATAAATAATTAACCCATCATTGTACAGTTGAAGGCTGGTTTGGCCGGTGTTTTCAGTAGTACTGTGCTGCTCTCCCTTGTGTGACATGCAGCATTTTTGTCCCCTGGGCCACTTTGGAACCAAGTGATCTGGGTGGGTTTAGTAATAAAGCGAATTATCCCCCGAAAACCCGGGTTCAAGGTCGGTTCAGACGAGTTTCTCATTAGCATTGTATCAGTCTCCCCTGTATGTGCTGCATGTAAAACTGGTCCCCTGAGCCACTTCAGAACTGACGGTTCAGGCTCCTCCTTGGTTTTAAAATGGTTCTGGGCTGGAACGGGTTAATAACAGCATGCTAGTAAGCAGTTATCAGTGGTAAAATATTGTCCTCAGGGTCTCTGGGGTTTTTCTTTTTTTTTTTTTTTTGGTGTTTAAAAA